TTTATATACAGTATCTTAGGTTAGGTTAGGCATCCTTTTCGTGCTCTGTATGGAGGACTTGGAACAGCATCTAGTGTGGCTGAGAAGGCCAATTTGAGAGTGACCGTCCCTTCCACACTGAAGGCAAATCCGATCTGTCCCCCGTCTAGCTCCCTGATTTTGCTGCTATATGTTCATTTATATATATTCAGTGTGGAAGGGATGGTCGAGACTGAAGGATGCCTAGCCCATTTATATACTTCATCTTAACTGATATGTTTCATCTTAATTTGTATCATGTGCCTTGTCTCTTTCCAAAAATATAATGATTCTTGTAGCTTTCTTTCTTCTTTTTAAGGAACACGCTGCGTAAGCGTTATGAATTTCTTCTCTGAAGCCAGCTCGCTGTTTTTCTCAGTCATCCCATCTTGCGAGCAATTCCTTGCCCGGCTTGCTGTTCAGGGCCAGTTTCCGGAGGCCTAGAAACTGCGAAGGAAAGGGCCAGTTCCAATCTGCGTATTCCATCTTGCAGATATGGGTCTTTTTTAAGGAGCAAGGTGGGGTAACAATATTTAAAATAATAAATATGTACCAAAATGCAAAACCCATGTCTTTTCCTTGTCATTTAGAAGTGAACAGAGGACGGCATGAAACCTGAAAAATTCCTGCCACAGTGGCTCTAAAAAGTCACATTGAAAAATTATACCTAGGAAGCCTATCTGAGAAGAAACTTTGTTATTCTGGTTCCAGTGTGGTGGTGAGAACGTTGGACTACCGCCAATAAGACTGGGATTTAAATGATGAAGCTCACTGGGTTAGTGGATAGAGCATCGAGTTTACAGGAGGAAAAACAATATATAAATGCCACTAACAAATAAAACACACTTTATATTACCCACACCCAAGATCAATTAGTCAGAGATACAATATTATTAATAATCATGATGTGGGAAGAGAAGAAATCAAAGTTTCACTGTTTGCACCTTTGGTTCTCATTTTACTAACCTCGGAAGGACGGAAGGCTGAGTCAACCCCGAGCATAAATCAGTTGGAAGTGAACTCAGGTCATGAGCAGAGGCTTACAGCTCTTAAAATCCCAAAAACAGTATGTTTACTCTCCATGCTGGCTGCAGGGAGTTCTAGTCCATGTATATTATTTTTCCCAATCTCTTCTCTTCCTTCCTAGGCTGTTCAGGTGAGTAAGGCTAACTTTTATCTCGCCACTCACACTTCATTAAGTCCAGGCAAAGCCAGGCTTTCTGCCATCCTGTTTTAGATTACAGCCTATCTTGCAAAAACTAAGAGGGGAGGTTAGATACACAGTTTACTTTGGACGGGAGAGGGAAATTTGTATAAATATTGTCTCCTACCCGATCTCTGGCTTCTGGCGTCAGACTTTCAGTACAGGAGGGAAATGTGAGCCTTCTGGAGAGATAACTTGAGGGGAAGAGGAATATCCATCATCTGGCATGCCATTAAGCAGCGTGAGGAGCCACACACACAAGAAGACATGTAGACTCTCAACATCAGCAGCGCAGGATTGCAACCACTAGACTAGGCAATATTAATTTGACCCCAACTGGATAAATCTAGTGGTTTATTAGATTTACACCCCAATTCCCAGATGGAGTGACGCTGAGTTTTTTTGTGTTCCCCTGTTCCTCAACCAAATAGAAACTGGGTGTGATGTCCAGTCAACAGCTTCCTTAGCTGTTATTTTAAAAGCCACAACTCCAATGCAGTGTGCATCTTTGCTGGCTTAAATCTATGATAAACGCTTGGCAAAATGCACCAGTCATGAACTGTTGGGATTCTGAGTTCTTTGCACAAAGGGCAAGGCTCCAGTGCAAGCCTGAGAAAACAGACACCCTGATTCGTGAAAGCTAGCAGACTGTACGGTTTCTATAAAGGTGTCACCTACTCCTGCATTTGTATATTGTGCAATGAAGGCCACATGTCTCTCTCTTTTTTTTTATTTCAAGGCCTTCCGCCAGAGGCTGCTAGAGGAAAGCCATTGCAACTCATTCTCTGCAGGCAGCAGAAAGTGGGAGGCAGCAAAGGAGCAGAGAGGAAGAACTAGGCTGGGCATTCCAGCAATGAAACTGCAGTATATCGGGGCTGAAATGATGGAGAGTAGAGAGCAAGGGGGCTCTGAATGAGACCCACAAGTTCTGCTCTATGACTCACAAGCTGCATGACACCTACCTCCATGTAGTTCAACACCCTTGAGCTAGCAGTTCGCCAGTCTTCTTGGCAATCCACTATTGCCCAGTTTTAACAAAGCCTGCCACGCAGCAGAAGAAACAATGGGGGTGTGTGTGCTAGAATCCAGCATGGCATGTGGAGACTGGGGTCCTCTCTTGTCAGTGGGACAGTGAAGATGCTCCTGGTTTTGGTCTCTAAAGGACTATCCAGGCTGCCAAATCCTGTCCCTCAAACTAGCTTCAGAATCTTGGGTAGCCCCTTTAAAGTTCAGACAAAAACCCTCGTCCGATTTACCACCCCAACTGACATTGGGCCTAGGTATGAGATTTTTGGATTTCTTGCACTACGAATCCCACCATTTTCCATTCCGAAAGTTCCATCCGGCCAGCAGACACCTTACAGAATCGAAATGTGGCCGGGAGAAAGGTTTACACTGGAGAGGCTTTGAAGCCAAGCTAGGTCTAGTTCTGCCCAGCTTCTGGTTCAGAAATTCTTAAACCGAACACTGTCGCCAAGCTGGACACTAGGCATCTGGATCTGCCTTACAGGGTTGAGGTGGAGAGTCATGTTAAACCTCCTTGAGCTTATTTGATATATACATGCAACCAATAAATAACAAAGGAAACTAATACCAGGAAGCCAAATGTTGGCTGAATATCAGGAAAAACATTATAATTGTTAAGAGTAGTACGACAATGGACCCATTGACCTCAGGAGGTGCTCCAACGCTGGAGGCCTTCAAGAGAAAATTGGAGCACCATCCATCAAATCTGCTTTGATTTGGATTCTTTCCTTGAGTAGGGGGCTGGACCCGATGGCTTTACAGGTCCCTTCCAACTCAATTATTCTATGATTCCAAGAAGGACAACATTAGCACATCTTGGGGTTTGGTCTTATATCTCAGATTTAAGGGGCTCATTCTCTGGGTCTTAGGTTTCGACTGTTGAAATCCCAGGGGATGTGAGATTGCCTTAGTTTGGTGGTACGTACTGCAGATGATCCAGAAATCTAGCAATGGTGTAGAAAACGCACACGGCCTGCCATAACATCCCAACAGCCTGCCTGTCAGTTCCAGAATTTGGCCCTAAAATCTCAGAGGATGGTTAGCTTGCTGCTGATCTGGCAATCCTGTCCGCGGAGATGTTAGGGCTATGCCATATAGCTGGGGGAAAAGTTACTTCCTCTGGACTGTTAAGACTTGCCATCTTCCACCCAGCACCATCACAGTATTATAGTCCGCACTTTTCCTTAGCTTTTGAGGAGCAAGCAAATCTGGGTCAGATCTGTTCCTGGATCTGCCCCGTCACAGATTTTCGTTCTCGCCCTCCCTCGCCCAACGCTGGCTTTCATTGCCGGCCCCTTGTTCTGGCCTCCGGGAGCATGCGGGGCACAGCTGCAAGCCTGCATGCTTGGAATCCCTTTAAAAATAAATAAATAAATAAAATCGTCCCGATTAATCGCTTGGTGGGAAAAGGCAGAACAGATCGGGAGGACTCCAGTGCTTTACCCCCACCCGCCCCTTTGCGTAGAGATCAGAACCAGGATTTCTAGCTAGCGACAGGCACAGTGAGAAGCCTGTTTCTAAGTCCAGACCCCAGGATTTAAATCAGTGCCATTTTTGAACCCTTCCACCCTAAAATAGGGAAGAGTTTGAAAGCATGGTTTACTTATTATACCCATGTGCCCCCACATGGGTGGGTGTGTCAAGGAGCATGGGACACATATTCCCACCCACAGGCTGCGCATTGCCCACCCCTGGTGTAAGGACTTGTCGCTCTGGTGCCTAGTCTCAGGGGTTAAGAGCATGAGC